TACAAATTACTGGAATCAGAAATAAAAAGGAGAATATCACTCCCAGCCAGCACAGATGAAAGCTGTTATCAGTGCATTGTTCAGGGATTTCACAGAACCAGGACGAGTAGGATACGCATAGCTAGGAGATGGGAATTACGGGACTTGATGAACACAGATAGGGACATTGACAAGTTTCACATCAAGGCCAACGAGCAAAAGAACCAGGAAATGACATGGCGCAATGAAGCCTAAATCTGAAGTCCTGAGAAACTTTGAAACAAGTAGTTGAGTCTTCTGCTTAGAATGCTCTTGCCCTTGGTGGCCTCAGTTGTGTCCCCTGAAAGAGTGACACTGAAGTCCGAACTCCCAGTAGCTCAGAATCAGACGTTAAGTGTTGTTAGATGAGTTCATACTGGAGTGGGGCAGGCCCTTTATCTGATATAACCAGTGTCCTCGTTACAAGAGAAGAGACACACAGGGAAGCTGGAGGAGTCAGGGAGAGAGCTCCTGGAGGCTTGGCACAGAGCACAGCCTTGCCTGTTTTAGACTTTTTATATCCAGAATTCTCCGAGAATAAATTCTTCTTAAGTCATCTAGTGTGGGGGACCGTGTTACAGTAGCTGCCTCTGCTGGTTAACAATGTGTCAGCCTGTGTGTGTCTATGCGGGCATTTCAATAACGGATCTGTAGATGAGTGGACAAGAGTCAACTTCACCAAAGGGAGTGGGCATCAAGCAATACCTCGAAGGTCCATATAGGACAGAAAGGAGGAATAATCTCTCTCTCTCTCCTCTCTCTCTCTCCATTCTGCATCCCCTTGGACATTGCTTTCTCCATCTTGGACATAAGCATTCCTTGAGCCAGGCCTTTGTTTTCGTTCTCTGTGCTCATCTGCTCCGGTTGTCACTTCTCAGGGCTCACACTGGGAGTGCCACTGTTGGCTCCCTGGGTTCTTAGGCCTTTGGACTCTGACTGAACTGCACCACTGGCTTGCAGGTTCTGTCCCCTGTAGGCGGTACATTACGGCACCTCTCAGTGTCCATACATGTGTGAGTCAATCCCTGCAACAAATCTTTGATACTTATATGTGATTTTCTCTCTCGCTTGCTCGCTCTCTTTCTCACTCGCTCTCTCCCTCTTTTCTGGAGAGCCCTTTGTAATATGGCTCACACTTGTTATTAATTATTGGAGGCTTCACGCTGACCTCTCTTTCACTCCCGATTTGAGCAGTGTGTGTTTTCTCTTTGGAGATCAGCCTCTTTCAAAGACACAACGGTTTCACTGGTTTTCTCCGTTGTTTCTGTGCTGTATACTTTGCTAATTTTCAGGCTGAGTTTTACTATTTCTGTTTTCTGCTTTGTTTTCTATTTAGTTTGATATTCACTTTATTAAAGTGCAATTGTGTGTGCACAGAACTATCAGTTACAAAGAGAGTTTACTATCTACTAACCATACTCTAACATTAAGCAATATGTTAATTTTAAAAGTCTTGCCTCTATCCAAATCATCCAGCAGAGTCTATAATAAAAACCCAAATCATTGCAACGGCCACAAGGACCTCGTTGCCTTTGTGCCTTCATCAGCTGCTTCTCTCCCAGCCTCCCAATCTCCCCCTTTGATCTATTCCACCTGTCAGATGTGATCCTGCCTCAGACCTTTGAACTGACTGCTCCCTCCACTCTTCTGCTGATAACAGCATGGCTGGTACTGTCTTGTCTTGGGTCCTACTGCAATAGGGTCCTTGCAATGAGCTCTTCTTTTTAGCATCACTATAATCTGATGCTTTCCCTCCACATACTCTCCAATATCAAAGACGTTATGTACTCTGCTCATTTTTTTGTGTTGTACAGCATCTGTCTCTCAAACAAGAGAGCACACAACTTTTTGATTTGTTCACACACTTTGGTTTCTCTTCAGATCGTATAAATCTTTCACCGTTTACTAAAGATTTGTTTACAGTTACGTCACAAGCGCGTACAGCAGATTCTAACATATAACAATAGTCACTATTTGTTGAATAGATGAATGGAACTATAATGAAACAGCTGCTGCTTAATCATGGCCATGTCCTCAGTATCACTTATACACTTTTCATAGCACACTAAAGTCAATATCACTCTTAAATAAATGGACTTGTATTCTTGTTTCACTTAAAAAAAATAAGCACATGCTCAGAAGAAAAAATTAACAGGCAGAAATTTAAATATTATATTGCTCTTTTGTTAGAAAACACAGAAATTCATGTGGGTCCAATAAATGACTTGGATCTCTCGACTCCAACAAAGAGCGTTTGATCTTCGTCCTTCACAAAGTATTCATGTCTATCTCCCCCCGATTTCTCAGAGGAGTCCCTGTACTTCCCATCGCTGAATCATCTTTTTTATCACCGCGGTTCACCCACAGTGCACTGACTCATCATAATGAGTTTTGTTTATGTGTATCTTATTTTCAAAGAATAATCTACTTAGTGGCAAGAATGTTGATGTTAAAAAGGCTACATTAGGTGTTCTGAATGCCTGGCTTTCTCTGGCATGAACAAGCTTAATAAATGTGAATGGAGTTGAACGTAAATTATTTGTTGAAGTCATAAATAAAGCCCCAAAATTGTGAATCCACAAAGAAATGCTAAGTGGCATTCATTTAATTATCCATACAAATATATTTGAATTTTCTCGTGGACTTTCCTGGAACCACAAAGTGTTCTGGTTAGTAAATCAAATACAACTCCTACATAATAAAAATTTTACTGGATTTAATCTGAGATGACAAGTTTTATTTGTTTCTTTAAAAAAAATGAGGAGAAAAAGATACCTAGATATGATCTAGACCTGAAAAAAATTGAACAAAAAGAGTTAATAGAAAATATATGTTACAGCAACTGCTTTTCATGAGAAATGCAAAACTATGAGAAAACTTCCAAAACTCTTTAAACTTGGGGTGCTTTGAGTTTTGAAGTTACCATTTTCACAGTACTAGGATTCAGTAAGAAGTTACATGTTTCAACTACTAACAGTCAAAAAGCAAGTGTCAAAGGAAAGAGTAAGAAGTCCAAGCCCCCACTGCCGGCACTGGCACTGCGGGGCCGCCTTCCACAGGTGTTTTAGGTTCAGTCTTCTCTGCCAGGGTGTCCTAACTGCTTCCGGTCAGCATGCAGGGCTGAGACGATTCTCCAACACTCCAAAGTCAAACTCCATTTCATGAAGAAGTCAGTAGACTCATGTTTCAAAATGTGGCCCTTTTATTGCATGAACCCAATGTCTATTTTCATCTTGACTTTCCACAAGGCTGTATTTTAGAAAGCACTGGGACCAAACTGGGCTGTTCATTTGCTATTTGACACACTGGGTGATTTCCTCTGCTAATCCTTACCTCTCCCGGAGTGTCCACTCTTCACCCAACTTTCTGCAACTCCTTCTAAAAGTCGACCATTACAGAAATGTAAAAAGCAAACAGCCTTTCATTCTTTGCAGCCTGTTAGGTTGTCTCTCTTCTCTGTGCTGTCATTCAACCCCCTCACAGTGCCCAACACGTCTCAGTGTACACCATAGCTGCTTAGCATTTATGTCATTTTTTCCTGCTCATCTCACCACTGCCTGCATTATTAAGGTACAAGAATATGTTCTATTTACCTTTCTTTACTGCAGAAAGTCAAGCAGAAACTTCTACATAATTTTCTCAATCGGTGTCTCTTGATTTCTAAAATGGGCTTGATATTGTGAAAGACGCTGTGGAAACACAGCTGTTGACCTACACAAACGTCAGAACCTAGCTCAACCGTCTTGTGGTTTCCCAAACACCTAAGGTAGGCATCAACAAGAAAACAGTTGTTGCTGCATTTATTCTTTAAGACATTGTTTTGGGATACAGAAGCAGGCAGGGAAAACTCCTTGCGGAGTACTGGGCTGGAACACCGAGATCGTCTGGAGTTTGGGAACAGCGGCTTCACCTGGACTCACAGGGAGTTTCATCTGGAAAATGGATGATCTGCGTCATCTCTGTTGCACCACTGAAGCCAATGCGTTGATTTTATTTTGAATTTCTGACCTATTGGAGATGTACAGAGTACTCATTCTACTAGTTCACTCCCGAAGTCTCTCCGACTGAAGGACGAATGCAAGTACTGCTTCCCCTTGAATCAGAGAAGTTGAATGTTGTTCCAGGCAAAAAAAAAGAAAAAAGAAAAAAGGAAAAAGCATTCCTCTATGGAAGCGTTTATCTGAGGACACAGATATTCAAGTACACATCTTCCTTGGCGCTTGTTACTGTGATCTGCCATCAGCTGTCATGCATGCAATCTGACGCAGACGTAGGTCACACAGGACACGCGTCCCATACAACGGCCAAACTGAAACTCATGAGATGGGCGAGGGAATCTACTGTAGAGTTAGTTTCTGTTGGGAGTTTAACAAGTATAAATTTAAGGGTAGCATTTGAATATTCAAATGTTCTAATCAAGATGTATTCATATTTTATTATTCTACTGGTGTACCTTCATTCCTCTTAGAGAAAACTGAGCTTAGATCTAATCAAGTTCTTAAAAAAATAAAAAGAAAAATTAGTAATTCAGAACACTTCATGTAGGATTCACAAGGCATCAAAGGCCACTGAGCAGATCATACAGCAAGTACACTGTTACTGCTGAGTCTGTTATGCCTCATGAGAAAATTTATAGTTGCATGTTCTAGTTCAAGGGCCAACTTTGAAAATAGGGGTTCTTTCTTCCTGCTCTGCTCTTTTTTTTAAATAATATTTGATAAACATTCAGACGGTTTGCATCTATATCTGCTAAAAGACATTTTTGTTATAATACAGTGTATGTTTTTGAGTCATGCAGAGAAAATAGTACTGCTAGCAAAACTTCTTAATAACGTATTGATTACCTCTCTGAGTGGAAAACATAATTATAACGCAATAAGGCCAATTTAAAACTGTGCATAGAGCCAGTAGTTGTGTCTTTAAGGCAGTTGAAAGATTTATTGAATCCTGGTTAAAAGTAGATTGAAAATGTCATTAAAGAATAAAGAGTCTTTTATTTGGTGCTACTTGGTGAAAGCTTCTAGGTACAAATCATCTCACAATTCCATGGACAACATATGGTCAATCACAATTCAAATGTAAAATAACTTACAAAGCTACATGGCTAGAATCAATACACAATAATTATATATTTTTTAAAAACAAAGAAAGAAATTTAGCAATTAAGTTAAGGTGCAGTAGCTTTTTTCCAAATAAAATATTAGCACCATACCAGATAAAGGATCCTAAACTGCTGATCTCTTTGTCCTGCTTAAATAACTAAATATAAACATTGTTTTCAAAGCACAAGTATTAATTTGTAAAATCAGTTCTATAGCTGTTAATGCGTATTTTCTTTTTGCATTTTTCCCTGTAAGAAAAAGTAGGAATTAAAAACTTTCACAAGATATGAAAAAGCAAAACATTAAACCCATCTGATCCAACCAGAGACTGCTTCAGCAATGAGTTCCAACAGAAGCAAACGTGGACATCTCCCGGCGGATGGTGCTGAAAGGCGAGAGTTCGAGTTCAGTGGTGTACTCATTGTCATTGTCGTCACTGGTCACCGTGGAAGACTTCTGAATGCATTCCTCGCAGCAACAGCAGCAGCACTCCAAGAAGGCTCTACTGAAGGGTTTGCAGAGGCAGAAAAGAAGGACTGGTGTGACACAGGACTTGAAGAACAGAAGGAATTGACTGATGATATTAAGCAGGTCCATTGTTTGCTGGGAAACCCCTGTAGCCATGTAGGCGGTGACGATATTGCAGATGTTTTCCGGAATGATGCAGAATCCGTATAAAATGGTCAGTGCCACAACTGTACAATTCATCTGGCTCTCTAGCTGAATCTGCCGCTTATTCCCTCGGGTGCAGGCCTTCTCGGCTTTGCGGATTTTCCTCGCAGTCACTAACGAGCAGGTGATGGTGAAAAGCGTAGGCAAGCAGAAGTAACAGCCGAAGTACCACCAGAGTCTCGCACTGTCATAGGTGAGAGCTAAGACGTAGACGGTGTCGGGCAGATCGGGAGAGATCTTTATGATGCACCGTTCTGCAGGTGCTCGGCCACTAAACCCCAAATCCTCCTTGCTCAGCTGGCGCAGAACAACTTCTGGAAGTGCCAACAGCAGAGCGCCCACCCATATCACAGCAAGCTTGGCAGTGGTGGAGGAACAGTTTTCAATCATTTCATAGTACATCTGCACGTTGGTGGCAGCCCGGAAGCGGTCAATACACAGAGCGCACAAGGTGAAGGTGGTGACTCCGAGCGAGGCGACCTAGGGGGCCAAAGCAGAATGCATTTACTGGGGGTATTTTCTGAAAGATCACAGCACAAGAAAATAAGTGCAAATACAGAGAGAGAGAACTAGAAATAGTGATGAGACAGGTGAGAGACAGAAAATTAAATTTCAAACAAGTAGCATGGGTGCGAGTCCTCCTGGCTCCTGCGGAATATTCATAAGCATGAAAACAAGGAGAAAACAGAGAAACTCGGGGAACATGGAGCAAAAAAAAAAAAAGAAAACTTTTTTTTTAAGAATCAAAGTTAAGTAATGCAGTATCATTTTGTCACACACGAGGACCTGGAGACACAACATCAAATATCCCCTCCTGCTAACATTGAATGTGTTTATTAGGGAAAACAGGAAAATTAGATTTTGATTACTCTCCTATCTATTAATGGCAACAGTCTGGAAACAAAATATTATGAAAAAAGCAAAAATTACCAAAAGAGCTCTAGATCATAAGAAAACATTTAAAAATATGGTTGAGCCTATAACAAACTTTTTTAAAGATGTATTTAATTTTTATTGCAAAGTCAGATATACAGAGAGGAGGAGAGACAGAGAAGAAGATCTTCCATCTGATGATTCACTCCCAAGTGACCGCAATGGTTGATGCGGCTCTGATCCAAAGCCAGGAGCCAGGAACTTCCTCCAGGTCTCCCATGTGGGAGCAGGGTCCCAAGGCTTTGGGCCTTCTTAGACTACTTTCCCAGGCCACAATCAGGGAGCTGGATGGGAAGCAGGGCTGCCGGGATTAGAACCGGTGCCCATATGGGATCCTGGCACGTTCAATCAAGGACTTTAGCCTCTAGGCCACGCCGCCGGGCCCTATAATAAACTTTTTGATGTCCACAGAAAATCACCTATAAACACCAATATAAAAAACATCAATCTAGGGCTGAAATTGTCACGCAGCAAGTTAAGTGGCCTCTTTGTGCAACACCTGGTATCCTGTATCACAACCCTGGTTCTGGCTGCTCCATGCTAATACACTTAGTAAAGTAGCATCTAATAACGGCTCAACCACCTGATACCTGGATGGAGCTCTCGGATTCAGATTGGAGAGTTATATCATTGCTGTTATGTAGTGCATTTAGTGAATCAGGAGGTAGAAAAGCTTTCTCTCTCCATCTCACCTTTTCTTTTTCTTTTTTGCCTTTCAAACAAATCAATCTTGAAACATTTTATATATTTATTTTATTATTATTATTTTATGATACAGTTTTCCATAAGCTCTAGGATTCCCTTCCCCCTTACTGATTTCTGCTTTACTAGTACAATGGGTAGTCCTTTATGAACTAAACAAAATGCATCATTCCACTATTTAAGCGTATCCTGACCTTGCAGGTATTGGTAATTGTGGAGTCCAGCATCCCATTGGCAGCATAGATTCAATAGTTTCATTGGGAGTCCATTCTTGATTTGATGCAGAGATGCATTTTTTTCTGAACCAATGTGACTTGTTACTGCTGAAAGTTTCTATCAGTATATTAACATTTAAAATTAAGCTTCAACTTAAGCTCACAGAACTTTGTCTTGAATTCTTGTTGGAGTCTCAGATTATTTCCAGTATTGAAGTCCACACCGTGGAACTATCTTATAATCTCATGTTTGAATACCTATAATTGCCACACTTGGGGAAATCTGACAAGGGCTTGCCAACTGCATGATGTAGGAATTGAAGTACTTTATTTCATAGATTATTTGAAACTTGATATTTATGCATTAGTTTTTTACTGTTTCAATTTGCGTTCCCTAAGAACCTAAGGCAGAAAATGGGCAGGTGCACACACGCGTGGCATGGATTCGTGTGCAGTCTCCCCTTGGGCGAGCTTCGGGCCTATGTGCCTATCACAACACACCCTGAGTCAGTCCGCAAAGACACAGCTACAAAGCTTGCATGCTCTGGGTGATTTGAAACTAATAATGAGCATCTATACTGAGAGGAGACCTTCGTAACACAAGAATCCTTGGGACTGTTAAGAGACGCACTGAGGGAAGCTCAGGCCGTCTGCTGTGTGCTGGTTTTGTAGCACTACTTACAAAGCACATGATGCACAAAGGACAGCACCTTCTCCACTCATCTGCCTAAGCGTGGAGATGTGGAATTACAGACCAATTATCCCAAGTGCTAGCATTTGCCTCCCTGACTCCAAATGAGACAAAGAAAAGTAGCATCAAAAAATGTGGGTGGGTGGACATGTATTCCAGCAGGTGTCATAAATGGCCAGTGTCACAAGCTATACCACTTATCCACTCCTAATTAGCAGGCTTTCTGTGCTTTGGAAAGCACAACACTGCTTCCTGATTCTGTATATTTCACCTTCCAAGATAAAAAATACAAACTTAAGCACAATTTACCTATTTTTCAATGTTTTGCTCAGAAATTTGTCTACCATGCAGTTTACTTGAAGAGGCTCAGTTTTTCAGTATTACTCCAAAAAGCTTAGCCACTGAATCAGAACTACGAATACAATGCAATCTGCTGTCCTCTTGACAAACCATGGATAAAAGGGTCCCTCCTAGTTGTCACACACGTATTTCCGGGGCTTCTGTGTTTGGTCTCCTATTTTCAGATTTCAGTTCTCTCTGGTAACATGCTCTGCAGTTGGCACTCAACTGAAAGGAGATGAGCAGCTCAGAAGGGCCATGGGAACGTCAGAGAGAGCGGCTGAGCAGCACAGGGGCAGAGCAACACTGCCCTGATGCAGGCAGCTTTGCAATGCAGTTGCCAACAGCAACCACAACCCAAATGCCAGACCTCGGCATCAACTGTCCTGCTGCCACTGCCTGCAGTGTTGCTACTTAACAGACCTCTCAGGCAATTCACTCAGCACTAAATCGAGCCATATGAAAGAAATATGCAAAGGCCCTCCTCAGTACTTTGCCAAGTTATTTATAGAAGACTTCAAACATGTGTAAAGATTTAACTGCACACCTCAAAAAATAATTGATAAAATCATCTGAATGAGCAGTGGTAGCCCAATCTCTGCTTATCCAAATGCAGAATTCATGGAGGTAATTAAGACTTTTAAATGTTGAGGTAACATGAAAGAGTTCCATCACGATTTTTTAATGTACTTGTTTATGTACAGCTTATTAACAATTCTACTAAGATGAAGAGTGCAATTACATGCAATTGTAAAATTGTCTGGTGCAAGCTGGATCTTCTGCATGTAATGACATATCTGGTTGCTAAAATTCAATATCACTATAAAACATGCTCTTGGGTGCGAAGCTGCTGAGCATTGCCTTGAATGGGTAGTTCTTTGAACAACATCCTGAGAGATGAAATGGGCAAGATGCAATCTCTTATTAATTAAACTGCCATTGGAGGAATAATTAGCCACCACAAAAGCACAACTGCACACACTTTTAGCAGATGAAGCCACACATTCTGAAAGTTCCAAGATGAGGGAGCTGGAAGGAAAAGAAAAATGACCATCAGGGAATACAAGGCATTGGGCAGTTTCATGGAATTGTATCAAAATACAGAGATGGCAAAGAACAAAAAGAAACAACTCTATAATCTTTCATTCAACCAGCAGTGTCTTGCTTTTCTTTGCATCCCAAAAGAACCACAATGAGGTCCCTCAGCCCCGACCCAATCCACATTCAGTGTAAACAGGCTTTAGGCAGCTGCAGCCAGCTTCAGTGTTGCTTCAAGGCACAGGAGACTCGGGACAAAAGTCCCGGCCAAGAATTCTCAAAAAGAACAGCAGCTCCAGTCCCCAAGTGCAAAGTTAAGGCTCTCTCTACTTTATCGCCCCATACTGCTCAATATCTAGGGCTTTACTGAACTCCGTGAGTGGCAAACAGAGCACTGTGTTGTTGAATATGCCTTTACAAGATGGTACTTTAAAAAGCTAGTGGACAGTAACGTTTTCACTGGATCATCTTGGAGCTCGGTTAGGAGAAGTGACCGCAAGGTCTTAAAGATGTGAAGAAAATACAGTTGAACCTACTTCAAGTATCATTGTTTCTGGAGAGCTGTTCACTGTCAGGTCCCATCCGGAGCAGTACAGTCAAGAGAACATCCACTCCATTCATCATGTCACTGCGTGCTAGGGAAAGACTTGCCCCTATCTCCTAATTTAGGACTCAAGAACCATTGCAGCATATATAATTTGTTTCTTTTGTACTGAATTGTGAATTGAAGTTTAAAAGCCTATGTGAAATGTATAAATCTAAGATGTGTAATAAAATACATTGTTGGTTCCAAAAAAAGAAGAGCTGGTAGTAAATAAAATTAAAGGGCAAGTTGTTTGGTGCAAAAAAATTTTGAAATCCATGCAAATCGGGGCTCCTCAAAAAGTTCATGAAAATGCATAGTATGAAAATTAAACATGGATTTCAAAATGTGTGTGTGTGTTTGTGTGCATATACATGCATGCATAAACATATAAATAAATGCTTGTGGATTTTTTTGAGATAGAAATAAAGAGAAATCCTGCAAAAGTACATTGTGTTTGCTGCTAGGAATAATGAATACAACATGGACTTAGTCCTCAAGAGGTCTGGAATCCAGGCAGCAAGTCTTGCTCACCACCCTCCTGCCACTGTGTGCCCAGTAAGTTAGTTTATAGCTAGCATGGCTAGACAGATCACTTGGGCTACGTAGGGTTCCTGGCATGCTTGCTGTGATTCCTCTTTATCAGGGACATAGCCACGCATGGTTTTAATCAGATTGAATGACAAATATAATTTAAAGATACCTCCTAGGAAAATTGTTACAAATTTAACTATCTTTCTAGACTGACCAAATTACAACATCTCCAGTGAGTGATAGCTATACTCCTTGGTAAATATCATCCTACTTTGTCTATTAGGAGAGTAGAACCTTGGGACTGGCAGGTGGAACTCTATGTTGGCATTCGGGCACCACTGATTTAAACTTGGAAGATGCAAGGATAGTGCACAAAGGGAAAACACCTTAGAGGCCAATGTGCTTTTTGTTCTTGAGACACACAGTAATCCTCATAAATAAAAGG